GGTCTCTGCAAATCTCTTGCCATTCCCTCCCATCAGCCCCATCCTCCACACAACTGCCCGACTGGGGTTCCTAAAACATGGCTCTGTTCCTATCACCCTCTGCCCACAAAGCATCAGGGGCTTCCTAGTGACTCCGGGAGAAAAGATAGAGGCCGAACCCCAAAAAGCTCTCTAGAATACAGAGCTCAATCAAACAGGATGAAAGTCAAAAAGGGTGAGTATAAAGTCTGAAACTTGGGGTCCAAAGCTCCACGTGACCAGCACAAGCTGGGGGCAGCCTGGCTAGACAGGCAGTAGTCTGAAAAGAAGATCGGGGAGCTCAGTTGGAGTCAGTGGAGCTGCAAGCATTTCTGTGAGGCCTCACCTCAAGGAGCTCCCAATCCAATTGAGGAGACAGCAGGCACGTATGCACACACGTATACACCTAGGGTGAGGGGTAGGCAAGCCACGTCCATAGCAGACACCAGCCAGGTCACTTTGAAGGGAAAAGGTCAACTGATGGGGCTGCCAGCCATGTCACCCTCCTGCCCCATCACTGCCCCCATTGAGTGGCATGGTGCCCCATCTCCAATAGACAGCACTTGAGAATGCTTAGCTGGTGGTTGGCCTGTCACCTTTGGCCATCCTCTCTCTCATCTCCAATCTCTTCCTTTCTGCAAACGCAGACAAGTCCCCCCATACATAAGACCCCTCCCTCAGCCCTGCCACACTCTCAAGCTGTCTCATTGTCACAGCAGAGATTCTAGAAAAAGTCATCTGCGAGCTATGTCTCCACCGCCTCCCACATACTCACCCCCCACCCCCCACTCCCTACTCACTCCTCAGCCCTTGCCGTCTGGCTTTGAACCCCAGCACACAATGGAGCTTGGTCTCAACTCCACAGAACAAGCTGCCTCTCCCAAGATAAGCAGATCACCGGAAATCCAAGGACCTTCCCCCCTCCCTCAGCCTCCTCTCCCTTAACTGGAGGGTAGAGCACTCAGCTCTATCCAGAGCCTTCCGTTAGAGAGGGGAGAACCTGTACTTGGCAGCTTCCATCTTCAGCTCGGCTTGGTCTCAACTCCATGCTACTCCCCAGCTCCCCCTTCCCCACCACCCACACCCACACACACACACACACACACACACACAGCCCATTTCCAGCTTCCTCAGGTAGTCTTCCCCACTAGATTGTTAGGGGCCGCTAGGTGGTGCCATAGTGCACAAAGCACTGGGCCTGGAGTCAGGAAGGCTCATCTTCCTGAGCTCAAATGCAGCCTGAGAAACTTCCTAGCTGTGTGACCCTGGACAAGTCACTTCACCCTGTTGGCCTCAGTTTCCTCATCTGTAAAATGAGCTGGAGCAGGAAATGGCAAATTACTCCAGCATCTCTGCCAAGAAAACCTCAAATGGGGTCACAGAGAGTCAGACACGACTGAAACAACTGAACGACAACAATAAATTAGATTGTAAGGTCTTTGAGGACAGGCACTATATTTCTTTTCCTTATTCATATTCCCAACAGTTAGCACAGCGCCTGGCAAATAGTAAATGCTTAACACATCTTTATTGAATTTGAATTTAACTGCCAAATCCTGTGGCTCCTTCTTCCTTAGCTACTATGACAATGCCCTCCTAGTGTCCCAGGCAACTCACTAGGACTGTCAGTCACAGAGGAGTGGCTGATCTGTATTGGTGGAGAGTTTTCACATTGCTAGTTCCTTAAACTGTTGAACGGAGCAGATCTGGACCATACAAAGCTCAGATGCATCATCAGTCCCCAGAAGCAGGCTAGGAAGAGGATCTTAATAAGCAAAGGTCATGTGTCGGGTGCATTCAGGGATGGGTGGGCCTAACTGGCCTCTGATGGCCCATCCTGCTCAAAACCCCCGGGCTTCTGCCTTTGCCCATTTGTTTGGGAAGAAGCTGTCTTGGCAATAAAGCCATTCCACAAACGAACTGGGCACAATAGGGTGCTTGAGAATTCCAATTAGAAACTCGGATCAGTTAATCACAGTAATAACTGACTTACAGCCTTTGGATAATTTGCAAAGAGCTTTACATATTAGCATCTTATGTGAGCCTCAGCACAGCCCTGCCAGGTAGCTATTACTGGTATTGTTAACCCCATTTTGCAGATGAGGAAACTGAGGCAGAGGTTAAGTGACCTACCCAGGGCCATACAGATAGTATCACAAGTGAACCTGGGTGACTCAAGGTCCAGCTGGCTATTATTAGGAGTACTTGAGAAAAGTGACCTTGGGAGAATTCTGGACAGTCTGTGGCAGTGGGTGAGATGCTATCTTCCTCCGTTCCCATCTGTCACAAGAATTGAGCTGAGATCTAAGAGAAGCCAGCAGAAGCCCAAGCTTATTCTGTCCACTGTAGTATGATACTGTGTCCCGAATGCACATGTCACCCATCTGTGGGACAGCTGCCCACCCCACACCAAGCATCTGCTAAGTGACTGCTGTTTGCCAGTCAGTCAACAAGCATTTGTTAAGTGCCTACTATGTGCCAGTTACTGTGCCAAGCCTGGGGAAACAAAAAAGAGCAAAAGACAGTGCCAGCTTTCCAGGAGCCCCCAAGCTAAAGAGGGAGACACCGTGCAAACAACTAGGTGCCAACAAGCCATAGACAGGGTGACACGGAAGAGCCACTAATTAAGGGGGAGGGGGAAAAGCCTCCTGTGGAATCCAGGGAGGGAAGCTGGGAGGTGGAGGTGAGACTAAAGAGCTCCCTGCTCCTGGGAGACAGCCAGGAAAGGTGCCCCAAGTCAGGCAACAGGCCATCTTGTTGGAGGAGCAGCCAGAGGCCGGGCCTCTGGATCACAGACTATGAAGGAGAGAGGGGCAAAAGCAGCTTCTGAAAACCTTTCATGCCAACCAGAGCATTTTGCATTTGATCTGGGAGGCCCCAGGGAGCCATGGGAGCTCATTGAATGGGGGGGTGACATGGTCGCACCTTATATTAGGCAGGATTGGGGCACCAGGACTGCCTTTGGATGGGGGAGTCCCATTTCAAATTCCCAAAGGCCCCGGAGCGAGGCTGGAAAGGAAAGGCCTCACATTTATGCCCACTGCTCAGCCTGCTCTGAGCCCCCAAACTGAGCTGCTCCCCGTATCAGCCACTAGCAATGCTAAAGCAGTGGGATGGTTGAGCCTGTCAATTCCTCCCTCTCCCCTCCACACAATATTGCTTTTCTTCTCAGAACTCAATTTCTAAAGGGAGGCCAGGAGCACACTGTGTGACTTGGAGTCCTGAGAGAAAGCAAACTGCATTACAAAATAATCAAATCCAATTCCCTATCTGACCCCAATCTGACCCCCAAATGGGCACTAGCGGCCACAGAGCTGGCCCTGGGCATTGAGGAAGCAGACAGTCATCTCCATGGCATCATCTGACAGGCATGAAAGAAGAGGTAAAAGTTAGGCCTGGAAGAACAGTGGAGACACCAAGCCATGGCACATTGGTTCTCTGCGGGACCAAAATTCCTGTCCTGGGTTTGGTCTTCTAATAATTACTCATTTAACACCAAATGTGCTATGTGCTAGGCACCGGGCTGGACACTGGGGATGGACAGACTAAACCCAGGCACCAGAAGAGAGATGGGATCCCCAAGAGGGCCTCCCCTGGCACCCACAAGAGCTTAGTGGCCAGAAGGCTGCAGTCTCTGGGGAAGCCTACAGCCAAGTTCAAGGTTTGCTACTTGTGGCCCTTTGGGGTCACTTCTGCGCATCCTCATAGTGACCCTGTGATAGCAGCTAGAAGTCGGTATTATTATCACCTCCCTTTTACGGGTGGAAAAACCAAGTCCCCTGCCATGACATAACAAAGTAAGGGGAGAGTGAGCCCGAAGAGCTCTTTTATCCAAGGGTCCCTGTCCAAGGCAGGGCTGGCTCCCTGCCCCTGCACATTTGTGCTGGCGGAGGTCCGCAGAGATCCCTCCAGAGTCTGGGCTGCTATTAATGCTTTCTTGCTGGCCTAGAAACTCCTGGATTTGGGCTGAGAGAACCTGGGTTCAAATCTCAACTCTGCCCCTTACTCCCAGGATGACACTGGGCACATCACGTCTTCTGTTTTCTGGACGAGGTAACCGGAGATCCTATGCAGTTCAGAAGTCTGTGATCCTCTGATCTTCCCCTTTGGAAGAGCGAGTACAACACTAAGCTTCAGGACACACATTATGATCCATCCCAACCCGCGAGGCCCTGCTTAATGCCGCCGCCCCTTTGAGGCTTTGCTCACCTCCTGCAGCCAGGCCCCCCCATCTGGCACTGCCTTCCATCATGCTGCCATCATCCCTCCCGTGGCATGGCAGAGGAGTGCCATATTTGACTGTGAAGACCTGGCTAGGAATCCGAGCCCTTGCTCTTGTTATGGGGCCCTGGGCAAACCATGGCATCACTCTGAGGTTCCTCATTGGCCCAAAGTGAACAGTAACCCTGTGACACCTCCCTCATAAAGCTGGTGCAAAGAAAAGTCTTTGCAGTCCTTTGAAGTACTAAGGGAGCATAAAGTGTTGTTGAGGCCCTTTCCTTCTCTGGCCTAAGAGTTGTGTCCTCGTCTATGAAGGACATTGGAATGAGATGGGTCCTTCCAGCCATGTAGCCTGTGATTTCTACCTATGGAGTAAGCTTCTGTAGGATCACAACCCATTTGAGAGATGGAAAAACTGAGGCCCAGAGAGATCAAGTGCTTTGCTTAAGATCATACCAATAGCAAACAAAACTGGGGCAGGGACTCTTAGCATGGCATCATCCCCCATAGCAGCTGACATGGTGCTTCGCTCACGGTAAGAGATCAGAGAATACTCGTTGACTCATGTGCTTTGTGTCCATTTTTCTGATGGTAGATATAAGTGCAAATGTTCTCCCATACACACACACACACACACACACATATGCACACACACGCTTCACCACCACACTGGGCCCTCATTGAACATGTACCTCTCTCATCATCTTCATCATAACAACTTTTGCTGCTTCTCCCATGTCTGTGTGTCTTGGACTGCCTAGGTCCCCACTCTGATGATGGACACCCAGTTCTCAGAGTTCACCCCAGACATCACGCCCATCATGCTGGCTGCTCACACCAATAACTATGAGATCATCAAATTGCTCGTCCAACGCCGGGTTACCATCCCCCGGCCCCACCAGATTCGCTGCAATTGTGTGGAGTGCGTGTCTAGCTCGGAGGTGGACAGCCTGCGGCACTCCCGCTCGCGTCTCAACATCTACAAGGCCCTGGCCAGCCCCTCTCTCATCGCCCTGTCCAGCGAGGACCCCATCCTGACTGCCTTCCGCCTCGGGTGGGAGCTCAAGGAGCTCAGCAAAGTGGAGAACGAGTTTAAGGCTGAGTACGAGGAGCTCTCCCAGCAGTGCAAGCGCTTCGCCAAAGACCTCCTGGACCAGGCTCGCAGCTCCCGGGAGCTGGAGATCATCCTGAACCACCGTGATGACCACGCCGAGGACCTGGACCCCCAGAAGTGCCACGACCTGGCCAAGTTGAAGGTGGCAATCAAGTATCACCAGAAGGAGGTAAGGAACCACTGGCTCCTGGTAGGCCTCGGAGCCCTGGGCCCAGAAGGCCCAGACTCCCAGGCATTAGCTTGTCAAGGCCTTCCCAAAGTGTCCATGTTGGAGGCTGAGGTCTGAGCTGCATCCTCCGAACTGCTTGGCCTGACCTCTCAGGCCCTGCCCTCTGCTGCCCGCTCCCCGCTGCCACTGCCGCCACCACCCCAACGACAATAATCACAAGAGGCAACATTTATGTTAGCTTTAAGGTTTGCTAAACACTCCATTGGTTCTCGGGACAGGGTCACTGGCCCAGAGCAACAGCTCTGCCCACAGCTCGCCCTGGAGGCTTCACCTGGGCTGGCTTTTTCCATGGGACGGCTTTGGCCTCGAGCGTTTCCAGACCCTGCTCAGGTGTGGCTTGGTTCTTGCTGCTCAGTGCCACATTCACTTGGGGTGAGCTCGACCCCTTTGCCACCTGTCCTGATGCCTATCCCCCTTCTACAGCTCCGAGTAAATCACCCCAAAGTAGTCATGCCTCCCCACTCCCTGAATGTCTGTGTCCAGTTGAAGCCAGCTTCAAAATGACCATTTGCAGTAGGTGTGGAGGGGAAAAGCCATCCCCACAAAAGTGGGCTGGGGTAGGGACTGGGCAGAGGGCAGGACATCTGAGCTGATAGTTACTTAGGTGATGGGAGGATTTGTTTATGCCTTAAAGGCTGCTTGTAGAGAGAAGAGTAAGTCTCTTTAAAATATATATGCTTTAGTGAAGCCCTCTGGCATTTCCAGGAACCCCTCCTGCCCTTCCATTCAGGCAAAGGAAATGATTAAGCACAAACATTTGTGAGACGACTTCATCTGACAGTATACATGGCTTTCGTCCCTTGGTATTCCCCACTTCTCTACTCTAGAGAGGGAGATAGGTTTCATTAGCTGTCTGGACCCATTTTTCAGTGAAATATTATTCTTTCCATGCTGCTTATTTCCCTCTTCATTTTTTTTCTTATCAATCTTTCTACATGTGTCTAAAGTCCTCATAATTTGTTGTTTCTAATTGCACAACACGATTCTGGTATGTTGACATGCCTTGGTTTGCTGTGCCATTCTCCAACTGATAGGGACTCAGTCTGTTTCCACTCCTTTACTACCAGTGTTTTCTTTCTATATTTGATTCCTGTGGCATATTTGCCCAGTAGTGGGATAACTTGAGTCAAAGGATAGAGAGAGTTGAATCACTTTTCATCCATCATTCCAAGCTGATATCCAGAGCTATTGGGTTAATTCACAGCTGCACCAACAATGTATCAGTGTGCCTATCTGCCCACAACCTCACCAATGATTGCTGTTCTCAGTTTTTTAATCATCTTTGCCAATTTGCAGAGTATGGGATCTCAGGTCATTTTCTTAATCTCAGGCTGGCAGAGATATTTATTCATGGATTCTGCCCAAACTTACTGCCCATGACTTCACTAAGATAGTGATCCCCCTTAGCAGCATGAGGGCCCTGGTCAGTGGCCCTCATTCACTCCCATGCCTTGGGGACAGCTCTGGGTGACAGAAGTTGATCTGAGAGATTGGGCCAACTGGGAACTTACTGTAGCTTACTGACTCTCCTTCCCTTGGTGTAAGAAGACCCCCATAACTATGCATAGTCTTTGCAGAGCTAAAACATTTGACATCTAACCAATCCCACCAGGCAGCATTCAGTCTGTTTGCCAGCTGATTGCTAATTAGCCACAGGACCTCTCAGCTGCTCCTGATCTCAGACTCCTCACTTACTGGGACCCTTCCATGTGCCACCATGTGACTGTGGGCTAATTAATCTAGCCTATATTCCTTTCCCTCCAACCCTCAGGAACCTTCTATTTGTCATTTCTCTTTCCCCCATTGCGCTCTCTCATATCTGAATGCTCCTTAACCTGAATTCCAACCCTCATCATCCATGTCTGGTCTGAATCTGGCCTTACTTACTTACTCATAGGAGTGAGCACTAATCTCTGAATTCAGTTTTCACGATTTCCCAAGATGGTCCTGAGCTCCATTTTCCCCCCTGCACGATACCAGTCAGTAAACATTTATTAAATGCCTACTATGTACCAGGCACTGTGCCATCCACAAGCAGAAGTTACTCCTCATGAAGCTTCATGATTCCTGGGGCTGTTTCCTCTCTGGTCCCAGAGACAATCCCTCAGGCCAAGAGAGTTACACTCTCTCACTGGGGTGAAGTGACTGGGTCAAAGGAGGAAAATGCTTCTTTTCCTGGACTTTGCTGAAAATCACAAAGAAGATAAGACATTCCCTCCCCGTGCACATAGATTCTCGTGGTTTTTGTGCTATTGCTACTAAGGCTTTTTAAGCACATGTTGCATGTTTGCAACGATAGGTACTTGCCCCCGGGGGCCAGATGAAATTGCAAATTGCCAAAAAGAGATGCTCTGTTGCTCAAGCAACATTTCGCCTGGTTTAGGGTTCACTGACAGCCCTTCAGTGCCACCATTGCCTTGAGACTTGGTGAAGGGATCGGAGCCCCTGGCTGCTTACTTCTGGGGGCTGGTTTTGAAAGAGGCTTGACTCAGAGAATCAGCGAATGGGAGGACGAGGGCTTGTTCTGGGTTGTTCCTCCCCCGCCTCACCACACTCCTCTGCTGCTGGGTGAAGTCTGGCTCACAAAGCCACAGCTTGGGAGCGATCAAGATTGCTCAAGTCACTCGCTGCTTGAGAGCGCCTTTTCCGCCTTTTCCACATTGTTTGCCTAATGGCCCGTTAAGTTCAATGGAACCCTTAATATCGACCAAGAAGTCAGGCTGTTCCTTCTTTGAAATCTTCAGAACAAAAGAAGCCAAGTAGCTAGACGCTCCACAGGGCATGGCACCTTGGGAAGTCCGTGGGAGTGCCTGTGGCCCTCAGGTGCACGCGAGCACACACACACACACACACACACACACACCCACACACACGTGATAAAACCTGTAGTCCAGAAGCTGAGCTGGAAGGGAACTACAAGGCTATGTGGTCCAGCCTCCTCATTTTACAAGGGACAGTCACACAGGAAGTCATTGTAAGAACTGGGATTTGAACTCAGGTCCTCCAACTCCTGAGTCAGCACTCTGCTCTCTACCCAACACTAAGTCAAGCATGTGTTTGCTCAACTCTTGGAGGCTGCCTAGGTTATGGCCCCCTGACCTTACACCTAACCGGAATGTGCTTTAGGGGCCCCCTTCAGGAGTTCCCTCTGGCCAATAGGATAATATCCTGGGGCTGGTCAGTCCTCATCATGCAATCAGCCAATGCAAACCCACACAGCCTACCATATCTAGTCAGCCCATCTGGCCATCTCCTTCCCAAATGGCTTGTCACCACCTGGGTACTACTCTGAGAACAATACTGAAATCAATAGAGGCAGCTGCTGGCATAGTAGATAGAGCGCCAGGCCTAGAGTCAGAAAGACCTGAGTTCAGCCTCCCTGCCTGTCCGCCTCCTTGGAGCAGATCCTGTCCATGCCCCAGACCCCCAGGGCAGAAGGCAGGCAGACAGGACAAAGGCAATTCGAGGTTGGGCCTAGCTGGTCTCTGAGGTGCCTTCTAGTGCAGAGATTCCGTGGCTCAGTGCCTAAACATGACTTCCACTGCGAGAACCAATCCCATCTTATTCTAAAGGGCTGCTATCTGGGGCAGGGGCTGGGCCACCAGTGGCTGCCAGCCTTGCAGGGCTTCTGACTCGGTTCCCTACATGGGTGGCCCCGAGGGTGGCTGGGACAGCAGCACTGGCAGCCGCCTCACACCTTCACCGCGCACACCCTTGGCCCAGCACACCCAACACTATCTGTGGCGCTCCCAGGCAGCTAAAGGACAGCAGTAAGGGAACATCAGAGAGCAAGTGAGAAGTGGAGCTCAGCAATATGATTCCTGGGGCTTTGTGGGGCTTTTTGCTAAGCTTCTCTGATTCACGCAATGTAACTGAATTCCCCTCAAGGCAGCTGAGGACTTTCTGCAGGAGATGTGCAAATGGGTCTCGGCTGAGCCTGGCTGCTAGCGCACTTCCACCAGCAGGGGAGGCTGCCAGGCTCCCCCGAAGCCTTCTCCCTGCCCCCGACACTTGATGGCCTTTTGCCCCATTGCTCCCCCGATGGCTACATCCACCCCAGTCCCACCCCAGCAGGAGGCTGTCAGGGGTCTGGGTTTCCCCAAAGCCATTTAGGCCTGATTGGGGTGGGGGTGATGGGGGAGCTCAGGGGCAAGCCGAGAATTTCCTTGAAGCTTCTATTCCCCTCTCAACACCCACCCCACAAGGCAGCAAACAAACCTTTGCCTTGAGAAAAGCGTGTGATGTGACATTTGCCTGTTATAGGATGTGACATTTAAATTTTCATGACCAGTGTTTAAGTGATTGAGAGAAGGAGGGGAGCTGTATTGTTGAGCTGCTTCCCATAATTCCCAGGGAAGAAAGAGCCAGTGGGCTAGGGAGCATCCTCCCAAACCACCCAGCCCTCGCCTCGCTTTCCTCATGACGCTGACACGAAACATAGTGAAGCCTGAAGATTGCTTGTGAGCAGCCATCCAAGTGAGGGCTCCCAACGGGCTCCCATTCCCGGGGGCCTCTGAACAGTCTGGACGGTGACCAAGCTTCTCTGTCTATGTCATGAGACATTTCCCTGGACCAGAGGGCATGGGCCATGGAGACAGGGAGACAGGAAGGAGTCTCGACTGGGGTTGGAAAGGTGCCCAGACCCTGAAGCTCTAGGTGCCTGGGTGGGCCGTGGAGGAGCAGAGAGAGACCAAACCTCTGACCTCCAGGACCAACCCCTGGTGGAGCATCAGAATAGCCTTGGAGTCATCATAGCTGCAAAGACACATCAATGCAGTTACAAGCAGGCCTATGGGCAGAGCTTTGGCCTCATGGAAAATGTCTGTGCTTTGCTGGAGACAACTCTGGGGGTGCAGAGATAGCCTCCAGATGGTCCAGCTGCCAATGGAAATCCTATGAGAGCTAGAACACTGAGGAGCCCCTCTCAGACCATCTCCCCT